GTTCCCATGGTCAAGCTCTAGTGGTTCTGGAAACTCCATGTCCTCTTCCTAAAAGCCATTTGATCCTAGGAGAAGTCCAGACTGGCCAAACTACAAAGAGCTTGAGGACCTCGGGGAGACGCCAGAATTAGGATTGCTGCTGAAAACCGGGAATGCGGCCACGCCATTTCTTGGGGTCCCAAGCAGTTCCATTTTACCCCAGGGCAGGTGGCCTCAGGCTTGGCCCACCCACCCGCAGCTGGCTCCCGGGCTCCGTATGGTGGGCTCTGGGGGCCCTGTGGAGACCTGCCTTCCCTGGCTCTTCTTGAAACACTGGATCTTCTGGGGCTAGGGGCCGCGGCAGAGAGGAGCTCCAGTCTCAGCCCCCTGCCAGCAAGCGGGCGTCGTGTACAGAGGGGAAGCATGTGCAGGAGTGGGTCGTAGGCCTGCTTGGTAATGTGGCTGTCGCCTCTCCCCTTCCCCAGTCTCAGATGAGAGACTGATTTATTATTTCTGAATAACTTCTTGTGGTAGAAACCAAATTTCTTTTAATATATAATATATACACACTCCTGTGAAATATATATACTTCGGAGATCTATTTATGTTCCATTGGGAGTCTGTCTTTTCTCTCAGGAATCTTACCTGCTGCTTTGTGTATTTGGTCGGATTCCTGACAAACGTTTTCTGTTTAGTAAAGGTGCTCTTTCTGGGATGTACTAAACCTGGTGATTTTTTTTTTAAGGTATTTTTTTCTTTTGATTTAATATACTGAGAAAGAAATGGGACTGTTAACAAGACCAGTTGTAGGAGTGCTTTGGGTTGTGTACTAAATAGCCATTCATTCTGGAACACGAGGACAGGTTGATAATAAAACGGAACGGCAGAGACTCGAGTCCTGGTTTTTCTCACTGGGCAGGGCTGGTGGCCGGGGGGATCTCAGGGGGGTCTCAGGGCTCTCCGGGCGCCCGGCTTCACCCCAGAGAACCTTCCCGGCCGCAGGAACCCACAGCTCCCTTTGCCTCCAGGTCACAGAACACAAAAGAGCAAGGTTTTCGGGCTCACTCTGCAACGGCTTTTTCCCAGACTTGCATTTATTTTCAGCTTGGAAGAGCTGGATCCCATTTTGGTGTGGGATTCATCTTGTGAGAGAAGTTCAGCTTCAGCTGGTCCTTTGGGTTTTCCCGAGGCTACTCAACTCGGAAGGGTCGGATCTGGAATTTAGATCTCCAGGCCCTCAGTTCGGATGCTTAAGTCAGATGGAGAGAAGGAGACTGGCATAGACCTGCCCACACATAAGATCTTTCTTCAGATTGTTCTGTCTAGCGGCTTCTTCAGTGTCTCCTTCCTCCGTCCCTGGACTGTGAAAGTCCCCTCTTCCCTCTCCTTCCACCTGTCCCTTCTGGAGCTCTGCACTCTGTGGCCCAAGACCACTTAGACCTGCCGCCTGCAAGCTTGGGCCCAACTGGGCAGCGGCCTCCTCCTGTGGGGCCTCGGTGGGATTTGACACCGAGGCATGTCCTGTTTCTCCTCGATCTTAGCCTGTGAATCTCTGCCCTCTGGCACGTCTCTTCAGTGCTCACACTTGCCAGCCCCCTTATTCATTCACTCTCTCTCCACAGACTCACTGAAAGCTAAGGAGTGGAACATTAGCCATCAAAAAATGAAATCTGGGGGCGTCTGGTCGGCTCAGTCAGTTAAGCATCTGCCTTCGGCTCAGGGTCCTGGGATGGAGTTCCATATCAGGCTCCTTGTTCGGCAGAGAGCCTGCTTCTCCCTCAGTGTGTCCCACCCCCTGCTTGTGCTTGCTCTCTCTCTCTGACAAATCTAAAAAAAAAAAAAAAAAAAAAAAAAAAAACTTACCATTTGCAACGACATGGATGGAACTAGAGTGTATTGTGCTAAGCAAAATAAGTCAGAGAAGGACAAGTATATGATTTCACTCATGTGGAATTTAAGAGAATAGGAGCAGAGAGGAAGGGAGGGAACAATAAAACAACGAAATCAGAGGGAGACAAACCGTAGGAGACTCCTAACCATTGGAAACAAACTGAGGGTTGCTGGAGGGAAGGGGTGAGCGGATGGGGTAACTGGGTGACAGGCATTAAGGAGGGCACATGATGGAATGAGCACTAGGGGTTATATGCAGCTGATGAATCCCTGAACTCCACCCCTGAAACCAATACACTATATTAATTGAATGTAAATAAAATTAAAAAACAACAAAAAAGGCTAAAGTGCTAGGTCCTAGAGGCTTCCCGTTCCACGCACCCCCAGGGCTAGGCGAGTGTTGACCAGTCCTGACCTTGAGGCCTGAGGTCACACCTGCTGTCAGATTCCCCCCTGCTGGGCCTGTAGGCCTCAACTCCTCAGCTTGGCCACCCCCGCCCCCACCCCTCTGGCTCCTCTAGCTCATCCAGGGCCAAACTGTCTTGCGATCACAAAAACCAGAAGCCCAGGATGCAGGCTTGGCCCTTGTCTCCGCACCCCACCTATTACTGGCCACATCCTGGCCTGAGGATGGGTCTGGAATCTGTACCCCTGCCTTTATCTTAGCCAGCTGTTCTCAACCCAGGTCGCACACACACCTGGCCTTGGGGGTTGGCTGAAGCCGCCTGCCTTTGACGACTTAGTCCTCATGGTATTCACCCCAGGTGACCTTTTGAACCATCCCCCCTCTGCCTGCCTCCACACTAACCACACCCATCCCTTTGTGGCCTGGGTCCTCTGCATGGCTCACTTTGAGGTGCACCCAGCCCTCTTATCACTCCCTCCTCTCACCCCAGACAAGCTCATACACATCCACAATGTTAATTACAATCTGTTCCCAGAAGGCTCCAGACATCTCCAGCCCCAGCCTCTCCTTGGAACCTCCAGACCTGACCTGCATTTCCAGCTTGGATATCCCGAAGATACCGCCAACTCAGAACGCTCAACATGGAGGTCACCATCCTCCCCCACCAAAGCTTTTCTATGTTTCCCATCTTGTCCTATCTGTCCCCTTACATCTAGACGATATCCAATATTCCCTTCCCTCTTCCCCATGTCCTATCCATGACTTCATCAGCGGGTTCCAACTCTGACACCTCGTTCACATTCACAGCCCAACCCTGGCAAACTTCCCCCCTGAGCGGCACCCCAGGGTCCTGCTGCTGAGCGGGGCACCCCAGTTCATGCGTCTCCTGAGCTCCAGGCCCCCACCCTCTGCACTGGCCTGGTAGCTGTGTGACCTGGTGTCTGGGAAGGAGCCAACTGATAGCTGGTATTCATGTCCTTTGCTCAGGGGTGTGGTCTGCCTGGAAAGAGAAGTGGGATCATCTCTGGGACAGGAGGGGCTCACCCTGGGTAGGACACCAAAGTGAGAAAATGAGAGAGGGATAGAACAAACCTTGGGAAGCATCCAGCCAGCGTTTAATATCCAGCCAAATGTTTACCAACCAAGTGGGGGAAGAGGAAAGAATGTGTGTGTGTGTGTGTGTAATAGTTTTGCTGATATAAAGATATGTAACAAAATTTACAAATAATAAAATGTGCAATACATTTTGTTGCAAAATCCACACATCTCATTGCTTCTCTTAGAAAGCTCTCACTGATTTTTGCCAGACGTGTATTTATAGCCAACGTATGCGTGCCACTCAAGGATGCGTGTCGTTCCTGCAGGAAGGCTGGTTCGTATTTTCGTTTATGTTAACCAGGAAGATGAAAATGAAACGAGCCAAAGATGCATGTCAGAACTTCACCCGCCCACCCCACCCCCGGCGCCCCCATGGATGATGGAATGGCTGCTCAGTCATGCGATGGTTCCGAAGGCAGGACCAGCGAGTTGCCTCAGTTTCCCTACTGTTCACATTGTATTGGCTACAAACACAGCACACCTGCCATTAGTAAGCACCCCAGACCCACTTTTATGTTGAATCAGCTTCTTAACATTTTCTCCATCGTTTTCTTAAGTCTAGACCCTCAAGAAAATATACATCAAGCCTGGACTGGGAATATTTGCCAGTTCCTGTGGTATCAATACTCTCACTAGGGCTGATTCCAAGCTGCTGATGGCGTCAGGAAGCTGGGAGGGAGGTGGGAAGGGATGTGCAGCAGCCCCTGTCACAGGACCCCTCATACCCCCATACAGTGGGTGTAAATAACCTTAAGAGTATAAGAAACAGTAAAATAATTAGGAAGTGGCAGGTTTTATGTATTTATTACCTTCGCTTTTTAATATACAGTATTTAATTAGAGGTTTACATAAGTCAGCTTTTAATGATGACTGTTTCACAAACGGCTTTGCAGAATCCTTTAGGGATGGGCTGAAAAAGCAGACACAGAACAACTGAGAAGTGACCAAAGGAGGAGGAACCCGGCAACGGCTGACCACCGACTCCATGTTACACAGGGCTCACGGGGCCACGGAGCCATAGCGGGAGGCTGGAAACTCTGCCCCTGGCGGCTCTCTCCCCTCCATCCCCACCCTTGCCCTTGGGCAGGCGGCAGAGGGGGAGAGTGGGCCTGAGGAAAGCCCATCCCCTCTGCCTCTGTCAAGGAGGGCGGTGAACCACACAAGGTCAGGCAGGATCCTGGGTCTCCTGGCAGGCCTGGCACTTCCTGGGGACAGGGAAAGGGTCGTGGCCGCACTCAGACCAGTCCTCCCCTTCCCAAGTTCTGGCTTTTCCGTCCAGCCCACTGAGGTTAAGTTTATGGGCGATCACATGGCCCCGGCAGTCCTTGTCCGTCTGAGATCTGGCCGAGCAAGGCCAGCCACCTGCGCCCCCCACCATCCCCTCTCCCAAGAGACCCCTAATAAACAGCGGGCAGGAACCCCCCCGGGCCCCTAGGTACCGGCAGCGCGGCGGTTCTGGAGCAATGGTTCTGGAAGCCGCTCCCTCCCGGGCCCCTGGAGGAGCCCCCGCCCCCTCACCCTCTCCCGAGGCGGCGGGCGAGCCGGAGCCCAGCGCTGCGCAGGGCCGCCCGCACCACGCCCCCAGCCCGTCCCCGCCGCCCCCGCCGTCCTCACACGGTCCCCGCACCGCCGTCGCCACCGCGCGTCCCTCCGCTGCCGCCCGCCCGCCGCGGTTCGTGCTCAGCCGCCGCCAGGCTTCCTGCGCCGGGAACCCGAGAGAGGTGAGTGGCCCGGGCAGCCGGGGTTTGGGCCCGGACAGCGGGGCAGGTAGCACGGGGGTGACGGCGGCCGAGGGGACCGCTGGCCCTTCGGCAAGACCGGCTCCCGGACATCTCCTGCGGCGGAAAATTCAAAATCCAGTCTCTGGATAAAGGCCTTTGTGGGGAGTGGAGGAGGAGAAGGGCTGGGAAGCAGGTCCTGTCATTCCAAGATCCACATCCATAGCTCTTTGGGGGCTCAGGGACCTACCACCCAGAGGATGTGTCACAACGCTGGCATTTGGGGGAGGGAGCAGGAGGCCAGAGGGGGCTGCCCTGCCCAGGGTCCCTGCGATGGGGGCAGATCCCAAAAGTCCAACACCATTCGGGTCCTCTGGGGACATGCCCTGACCCTGCATAACTGCAGCTAAGGCCCTGGGAAGGAGCACTGCGGGCAGAGTCGAAAGACCAGGTCCCAGGCTGGAGACTCTCCTGATGCAGAGGCGGAGAGAGCAAACTGACATCTCCCGAGTGCCTGCTCCTTCGGTGACAGTACTTCTCCGTCAGCATTCCCACCTGCCTCAGCTGTGCCCCCTCCACTCCCTATCACTCATTCAGGAGATGGGCCCTCTGCCAGGCGGAAACACGAGATGGGGGAAGCTGATCCCTACCCATACAAATCACACTCTAACTGGTAGAACGTCCGCTGTGCTTCTCTTTCCTGCCCTAGGGGATGAGAATCTAAGGCAGTATTATCCCTGAACTGATGAGAAATTCTTAAGCCCCTACCGTCAATATTCACAGGACCCCTTCCACAGCACCCACACACCAGTCACTGGGAGGATTCCCAGGATGCCTCCCCATCCTCTTGCGTGTTTCAGTTTAAAAATCACCTATTCCAGGAAGGCTACCCTGACTGCCCTCCTCTTGATCAGGCACCCTGGCCCTCCCTGCCCATCATCCTCTATTCATAGCTGTAATCAGAGTATTGTCATTGCTGTGTCAATCCTAGTTTTCCCCGCTAAGTCATTTACAAAAACTTAGTCATTCGAGTTCCATTTTATTATACACATAATATTTTTCTTGAATATTTTACTTTGGAACTGTATTATGGCAGAACCTCTACTCAGGAAACAGAAGCTTAAAACTTAATCTGTCGCTGCCACTATTTTCAGATCTCCTCTAGGCTGCTTCACAACTTCTGATGCAGAGTCCATCAGTTTTTTGGTAACTTAGGGACAAGCCCTGATACCCCAGAATGACCCCTGGGGCACCTGACCGAGGACAAAGAGAACCTATATTCTGAAGACAGGACAGGGACCAGGGCCCCCTCCTTCTCATTCCTCTAGGGCCTGACTCCCTCTCTTTATTGGGGGCAGGAGGGGCCAGGACCGTGTCCCATTTTGCAGGCTTCCCCTATCGATGTCCTCTCACTGTTGGTCATCCCTTCTCTGGCCAACCTGCACTGGCCCTGATGGCCCCTGGGTGGCTCCTCGGGGACACCATGCAAAAAACCCCTGGAGTCTCCGTGTTGTCCAGATCCCTGACACGGCGCCTTGGCTCCCACCCCACCAGACTGCCCTATGGGAGCTCAGCTCCTGTCCTCCAGATCCACTTAGCCACACCAGCCCGCAGGACAAGTAGAGGACATGCAGGGGTTCAGTCTCCCCTGGCCGGCTCCTGCCTTTCTCCAGGCTTCTTTTCTTCCTGACCAAAAAGGCACACCGAGCTGATTAGCATCACCTGCTTCAGCAGACAGAGCACTGGGCTCCTCTCTCCGGAGCCCCAACCCCACTCCACGAGAGTTCACTTGGAGAATCTCAGCCTCTCAGGGCTCACCCTGAGTTCCTGCTCTCCCTCCCCAGCCCTGCAGATGTGGACCAGGGACCCGGATTAGCACTGGAAGCCCTGGAGCGGTCAGGCCCACTGCTCAGGGACATCCTGGGTGCTCCTCTTGGTCTTCAACTGGACCCCAGTGTTCAATTGCAGAACAGGAGGGAGAACCTTCCCACACACACACTCATGGTTCTGGGGCACTTAAATACCCTTATTTTTAAAAGGAAATTGTGTTCCACTCAGAGAAGTAGGAAATCAGTATCCTCTGCCACAAAAGCAAGGTAATTGAACAAATAAAAACAAGGAAAACCAAGCAGTGTTGGTTTTAAACTTAGATTAGCACCTGTTGCCTGCAGAACACACCTAAGGCTAGTTCCCTAGCTTACAAAGGGAGATTAACAAGAATTAAGAATTAAAGGCATACGGACACCCAGCTGAGACTTCCTCCCTAGTGCAGAACAGGTTAAGAGAGAAATGGATAGGGAAGAACAAAATACATGGCCAAACTTCTATCAGTCCGCCCCTACTGAGTTCAGAGCACCACACTACGCCTGAAGTGATGCAGAACAAGCCTTCAGTGTATCCATCCCTGAAGGGTCACTTCCTCCAGGAAGCCCACCCAGATGGGCCTCCTTAGCCAGCTGTGCTTCTCCTGTTTTAAGGGTCATTATGATTCACTGTAATGGGGTATTGGCTTCTACTCCCAAGCAGAAGTTCATAAGAACCACCACCAGGTCCGTCTCACTCACTTCACTATCCAGGTGTCTGTCCCCACGGGGCCTGGAGCACAGGGGTTGAACAGGTGAATGAATAATGAATGCATAGCTGAACTGACCTTCTTGACTTTGGTCTTGCTGCCCCTCCCACCTCCGGCAATGCTTTTCCTTCCTCCTCCACTTCCTCCTCCCTGCCCAAACCCCACACCTTCCATCCTTCAAGGCCCTGCTTGAGAGCCCAGTTTTTCCAGGCCTTTTTCAACCCACTGAGCCCATCCCAAGCACCCCTGCTGTTGAATCTTCGATCCCTGGCACTGCCTATGCCCAGGGGACATTCGGTTCCATGGTACAGTGCGTTCCCCACACATGCACGGGACAAGCAGTATGGGTGACACCACAGAAGCTTGATATCTAATGTGGAGTGGCTCAGCGTGGTTCCCCCTTCAAGGACGTGGCTGTGTTGGCTCGGGACACTGTATGAGTTCCCTAGCGTTGCTGTGACAATCACTATAAGCTTAGTGGCTTAAAACGCAAATTTAATCTTACAATTCTGGAGGTCAGAAGTGGGTCTCGAGCTGTCAGCACAGTGGAGTTCCTTTATGGAGGCTCTAGGAGAGAATCCATCTCGTTTCCTTTTTCAGCTTCTAGAAGCTGCCTGCATTTCTTGACTGGTGGCCAGCTCCCATCTTCAAAGTTGACTATTGCTGATTGTGTCTTTCCCACCCGTGGAAAATCCAGGATACTCTCGTCGCAAGATCCTTAAATGAATCACACCTGCAAAGTCTCCTTAAGAAAAAAGAGAGAGGCCCATTTATTCATTAGAGAGAGAGAAAGAGAGCAGGGGGAGAGACAAGCAGGCTTCCCCTGAGCACTGAGCAGACACGGGGCTTAATCCCAGAACCCCAAGATCATGACCTGAGCCAAAACCAAGAGTCAGACGCCAAACTCACTGAGACACCTAGATGCCGCATCTCTCTCTTTTAAATTAATTAATTAATTAGTTGAGAGAGAGCGCTCATGAGAGTGGGGGAAGGGACAGAAGGAGACCATCTCAAGCAGACCTGCCCCCCTACCCCCTCCCGCCGCTGAACGTGGATCCAGACAGGGGTCTCCATCCCATGACCCATGAGACCTTGACCCGAGCTGAGCTACCCAGCCCCTGCAAAGTCCCTTTTGCCATGAAAGGCAACGCAGTCACAGGTCCAGGGGATTGGGACATGGACATCTCTGAGGACGAACATTATGCAGGCTGCGTAACAGCTGTCCCGGTTCGTCACAGGGCACTGTGGCCAGTGGTGTATTAATAATAACTGCCATTTGCTGAACATTGACTCTGGACCAGGGACTGTTCCGAGCACGTTCCCCAACACCCTGAGGCGGGTGCCATCATTATCACCCTCACTGTACAGGAGAGGCACCGAGAGATTAAATACCTTGGCAAGTGGCAGAGCCAGGATTTGAACCCAGGCAGTCTGGCTCCGCCATGTGCATCCTCCTTACCTCCTCACCTCCTAACTGCCACTCTGTCACCACTCTCACCTCCAGGATCCCAGCCCAGAGCCTGGGAGAGACCAGGCAAGGTCTGAAGCCCAACACAGAGGGAGAATTGTCACCGAGATTTCTGGGGGAGACCCCATCTGGGTCACAGATTCTCTGCCAGTCCCCTCCCATGTCAGCCCTTTCTCCTCCCCATTAGAGGCATCCAAGCCTATCCCAGGGAGCAGCAGGGAGCTTTCAAAGGTTCTCTTTGTGGGGTGGAGGCAGGTGAGTCTGGAAGAGCTCCTGGATGCCACCTGCCAGTCAAATTAACCTCTGCCCTGCCCCCACAGCCACACCCCAATCATATGAGCCCCACAGAAAACAAACCAAAGACACTAAACCACACTTCCCTAGCTCGCCATCACGGAGAAGCCTGCATACTTGAGCCAGAGGGGAACACACAAGCCTTCCACAGCCACTGGTTGGAGAGGGGTGCCCTAACATCCCCTGAGCACCCAGGAGGGGCAGGCATATTTCTAAGAGTTTTATACTTACTAATTCATTGACTACAACAACCCTGTGAGGTCCTGTTATTATCCCCATTTTACAAATAAGGCAATGGGGACAGAGAGCAGTCAGGTAACTTTCCGAGGTCCCAGAGCCAGTATGAAGATCCAGGATTCCATCCATTCTCCATAAGCAAGAGAACCAAGGCAGAGGCTGGTCAAAGCTGGCTGAGCAGTCCCGGTCTGACCCACCCGATGACAGTGGCCAAGCCCCCTTTGTGCCTTCCTACCATAACCTGCTCTCTTAGCACCTGCTGGGCTGGGCTCCTGGTTTCTATGTCAACAGATTTCTTGAGAGCACTTTTATATTTCATGCTTACACCGACCTTCATTATTGCCCCCATTTTTAAAGGAGGAAAAGCAGGCTGCAGGGAGCCTGAAAACTTGCCAGAGCTCCCCCAACCACAAAGCAACAGGTTTGGGATTT